GGTCTGGGCATGGGATTTGCTTTGGCCAGTGATGTCAGCTTAGGCTTCAAATGTGCTTGGGTGGTTTGCCTTGTCTCTTCCGTCTCGAGAAGAATGTGTCACGGGTAGTCACCGGACCAACGAGAATGTGGGGACTTGAACAGCAGACCTGAAGCCAACACAGAGGCTGGCCCCACACCCAGCCAATCCGTGGCCTACAACAGAAATCCCTGTTCAATTGCTGACCTACCCATGAATGAAGAAAATCCGCACTTGTCGTAAGCCACTGAGATTTGGAGGAGGTTTGTTTTATAGCATCATTGCAACAATACCTGACTAAGACGTCATTCATCCCCGGGTTCCCAAGCCCAGTGCAGTCCCCGGCCACAAACTGTTGAATAAAAAAGCAAAGACATTCTTTGATCCGATACCTTTGCAATGTGAGTTGGCTCAAGTCACTGCACCACCCGAAACCTTTGCTACCTCTTCTTTGCAAAGGGCATAGTAATAGTTTCTTTGCGGGGTTGCTGTGAGGATAATGGAATACTCTGGGGAAAGCTCCTGGCGCTTTGTGTTCAACAACTGACATTTTCTTCCTGCATCTCTGCCTCTTACCATCTCGAAGTGAGCTCTTTGGCGAAAATGATCAGGAAGTAGAGGAGGCTGAGATGGGGTAGGGTGGTGGGGAGAGCAGAGAGCTTACTCATGGCTCCTGAGCCTCTGAGCCCTTTAACTCCAGGTGGGGAGCCCCTTTAGATCCTTCCTCCTCCCCTCTTCCTTTGCTCCCAGCATTCTTCCTTGAGTCACTGCTAACTTGCTCTTCCTGACCCAGACAGGAAGATTTGCCCCAGATCCCAAGAATGGTTCAGCAATTCCCTGGCCCAGCATGTGACTGGGTTGCCTTACGAAGACAGGCAGCTTCTACTTCCTCTCAGAAGGGAGCTGCTGTGTAAGAAGTCTGTCTCCTCCGAAACTACCATGCTGTGAGGACACCGAGCTGGCCACATGGGGAGAGAGACACAGGCTGTGTGGAGGAGCACTGAGGTGCCACACTTCGGAGGGAAGCCTTCTTGGGCTTTCCAGCCCAGCGCAGCCCCCCTGCCAGCTGAAGGCAGCAGAATGACTAGCCTCACCTGATGCCATATGGAACAGAGGAGTCTTCCAGATGTATCCCGTCAATCCACAAATTTGTGAGGAATAATACTTTTTTGCTGTTTTAAGTCATTAAGCTTAGAGATGGTTTGTTATACAGCAGATAAATTAATAGATAAATGAAACTCTTTCTCTATAATACATATTTTATGTACAATGTGTATAATGTTTACTTTTCCTTAAAAGATTTTATTTTTAAGTAATCTCTACACCCAGCGTGGGACTAGAACTTACAACCCTGAGATCGAGAGTTGCATGCTCCATCAGCTGAGCCTGCCAGGCACCCCTAATGTTTGTTTGTTTGTTTGTTTTTAAGATTTTATTTATTTATTTGAGAGAGAGAGCAAAGGGAGGAGCAGAGGGAGAGGGAGAGGGACAAGCAGCCTCCTTGCTGAGCCTGGAACCTGATGCAGGGCTCTATCTCACAACCCTGAGACCAGGACCTGAGCCAAAACCAAGACTGAGCCACCCAGGTGCCCCCCCTAATGTTTATTTTTATTAGTTTTTCTGAGCCATTTGAGAGGAAGTGGCAGAAATCATGACCCTAAATACTCAGGTGTGTATCTCTAATGAACCACACACCAACTTACAGAGCAGTGCAGTTATCAAATGCAGGAAATACAGCACTGACATAATATTAGCAATCGCTTGGCCCCCTTTCTCAATTATCTAAAGCATGGCTTTCATAGCATTTTTTTTTTCAGCTCCAGGATCGAGCTCAGGATTATGCATTGTACTTAGTGGCTGTATCAGTTATATGGAGCTGCGTAACAAGTCACTCCAAAGCTTCGTGGCTTAAAACAACCATTTTGATCATCCCACAGTTTTTTGGGTCAAGAATCTGGATGTAGCTTAGCTCTTTTGCTTAGGGTCCCTCAGTCAAGGTGTCAGCCAGGGTTCCCGTGATTTCAGGGTTCCACAGGGATGGGATCCGCTCCAAGGCTCATTCAGCAGGTGTTGGCAGGATTTAATCGTAGCACTCTGTTGGCCCGAGGGCCTCAGCGCCTTGCCACATGGGGCGCTCCACAGGGCAGCTCTGAAATCAAGCAGGCTGAGAAGAACCAGAGAGGATGTAGCAAGACAGAAGTCACAGTCTCTTATAACCTCAATTATGGCCTTTTGTAATCCAGAAATGACATTCCCTCACCTTTGCTCTATTGTATTCATTAGAAGCAAGTTGCCAGGTCTGGGCGCACTCAAGGAGAGGGGACTGCACAGGGGAGTGAAGGCCAGGAGTTGGGGTCCTTGGAGGCCGTCTGAGAAGCCTGCCTACCACAGTGCTCACATCCCTCTTGTCTCTTCTAATCTGGGGTGGTTTAGTTGTTTTCTTTGTCTTTGACATTTTAATATATTACAAGCCAGCTGTTTTGTCAATGTCCCTCAGTTTGGGTTTGTCCGCTGTGTCCTCATGATTAGATTCAGGTGGTGCATCATTTTTGGCAGGAATACTTCATACTCAACATTGTAACCTTCCCAGTGTAGCGTATCGGGAGACACATGATGCTGGCGTGTCCCATGATTAGTAACTTTAACTTGGATAAGTTAAAATGGTACTCAGGCTGCCACATTCTTACCCACTCTGCCATTCTGCCTCTGGCCTGGAAAGTTCTTTTTTCAACGGGGTAAAATTTTTCAATTTTTCAAACAGGGTAAACAAAACAGTACAAAACAAAACAAGACAAAACGAGACCAAATCTCTTGGCAGAGCAATTGTGGGAAGAAGTTGAGCCTGGAAACATTTTTAGGATGAAAATCCCCAATGTCCTGTCAGAACTTTGCCCTCCCCTCTCATTTGCAAGCCAGATACCCTCAACCGAAGGCCCAGGGATTGGCTGTCATGCCAGCCCAAAGGAACCCGTTTCTTTCAATTGCTGGTGCCTTCACCTAGAAAGCCCTGTTCCATCTCTGCCTTCTGCTCTGCCTGCAGAACTCCAGTCCATCTCTGAAGCCCAGGCCTGGGGTCTTCAGCTCCAAGAATAAGGCTACAGCACTGAACAACTCCAGGGACCCCCGGAGCTGTGCAAGCCTGTGATCTTGTTCTGGAGACATCTACCCCCTTACTCCCGGCCCCAGCCTCCTCTCACATAGCACACAGTATCACTAGAATTTATTGAGATATAGGTCTGTCTTCTCTGGACAGAAGGTGGGACTAAGGTTTGTCTACCTCTCTGGGCCCCCGTATCCAATACGTGCTCCAGAAGTATTGGGTGAACACTGGAATTTCGCAGTGGCCGCTTGTGCTCCTCCTCCCACCCCTACCTCAGTAGCACTGTCCCTGCTCTATAATCTGGGGGTGACACAGTCCTAGATTTCAGACTTTGCATCCCCTGAGGTGCTTATAAAGTTCTGGCAATAAAATCCCAGATTCCATGTGGTTGACCGGAAGACCTCCCTTATAAGGCCAGCAGGTGCAGTTAAATGTAGCTTCTTGACAGATTTGTGAGGCTGCAAAGAGGCCCTCCCTTCAAAGAAGAGATGATGGGGTCTGGAGAAACCCTCCTGATTTGGAAACTGGTTGGAGAGCACACAGACTGATTCTAGAGCAGAGGCCCACAACCTGTGGATGAGGCCCAGGTAGCAGGAGATGTGGAGAGGGCCTCAGGATGCTTACCCAGGAGGTGACTTTAGATCTCAGTTCCCACCAAATTTCTAGTCCCCTGGAGCAGGCCACAGAACTGTTAATAATAGAACTGAAGCACCCAGTTGGGTTTTTCTGCCAAAAGAGACACTGAGGTCTCACTTCACAATCTGGAGCACTTTGCTCACATCCCCTCCAGTCCACAGTCCCAGGGGCAGCTTGGGCTGGTTCCGACCCAGATAATGAACAGGGACCTCTGACTTCCCCCACCTGTGAGGACTCACCCCTGGGGAAGGCCAGGACCATGCTCTGTTCTGTTTGGGTTTCTTTTCTACAAATGTTGAAAATGACAGTGGAGGCAAGTGCAGATGTTGAGGTTTTTGCCTTTGGGGGCTTTCCTATTTCTCCTTTTCGGGGAATGACTTGTTGTTCTGAACCCTATACTATCCCGTTAAATGCCAGGACCACTGTCTTCAAGAGGCCTCAATTAGCTTATGGCGCTAAGTGCTGAAAAGACTGAGAAGAAAAGCCTCAAGCCCAAATCAAAGCCCCGGAGCCCAGGACACCACAGGATTCGGGCAGCGAACAGGGAGTCTCTTTCAATTCCCAGCACTTCACCACGCTTCTGGTGAAGTTGGCCTTGCACCCACGAGCCGGCGCTGCCTAGCTGGACGCTGCCCCACGTGTGGGAGGCAACCGGTCCCCACTCCTCGGCCAGCAGCACTCACCCCACCCTCCGCCGGAGACGCCAGCTGCCCAGAAGGGTGGGAAGATAACGCGAAGCCGCCCTGGCTGGTGCGCGGGGACCCCACTTCCTTCTGGCTTCCCAGGTGTCCCACTAAGGGAACTCTTGACTGGAGGCCCGAGAAGGCGGTAAGGTGGGTGGGTGACCTGTGACCGCCCAGAGAGGGTGTGCTGTGGTCTTTGAAAGCCCAGGGGACCATCATTTGGACCCCCACCCCGCCCCGGGGCCGAGAACCAGCGCAGCCAGAGGGATCTCTCGGGGAAGAGATAGGATGGCAGGCCGGTAATGGCTTGGGAGGCTCTGGCAGGGCGAGGCCGCGAGGATCTATCTCCACGCCGCCTCTCCCCCCACCTAACCACCCCGGGGCCGGGAGCTCCGCGCAGCCTCTCTGGGAGGGGGTGGGGGATCCCAGCGGCCCCCCAGCGAGCCCCCGGGGAAGGCGGGCGGAGGTGCAGCGCCCGGAACAAAGGCCCACGGAGGGGTCCTGGAGCGCGCGGCTCCCCGGGGGCGGGGGCGGGCCCCCTCCTTCCCCCCTCCCTCCCCCCTCAGCTCCTCCCTCTCCTCCCCTCCTTCCACCTAGAGGCCCGGCCGGCGCGTAGCCCGAGCTGCGCCAACTTCGCCAACGGTTCCCAAGTTGCCGGGCGCACTGGGCTGGGAGCTGGGTGGGGTGAGGAAGGAGAGGAGGAGGAGGAGGAGGGCTCCCCGGGCGCCTTGGACGCGATTCAGGAATCCGCCGCCGCCGCCGCCGCCGGCCGCTCGCCGGCTCGGGCCCGAGCGGGGAGGGCGCCAGGCAGGACCGCTCGCTCGCTCGCTCGCTCGCTGGCTCGCTGCGCAGGACGGCGCCCGCCTGGCGCCGCTTCCCGCTCGGCGTGCGAACCGGCCGGGCCGGGCCGCGCCTCCCTCCCTCCTTCCCCCCTGCCGCCGCCGCCGCCACCGCCTCCGGGGAGGGCGCAGAGCCCTGGCCGCGGGGGATCAGAACCGCCGAGCCGCTTCTGACGCGTTCTGCGCAGAGGGCAAAGTTGCGAGCGGATGCTGCTGGCGCCGGACCGCAGACGCGGACAGTCGGATCCGCCCCCGCCGGAGGAGGCTTGGCGGCAGGGGTAAGTAGGGCGCCGGCGTCCCGGAACCGCCTCTGAGGCCCGGGCAAGGCCGCCCAGCCGTGCGCCCCGCAACCTCCCCTGTCCGGGCGGCCCGCCAAACTTTGGAGGAAGAGGGGGCGAAACGGAGCGTGGGAGAGGTAGTTCCCGGCCCGGGGAAAACTCCACGCAGGCACCCGCGACCCCCAGACCTAACCCGCGCTCAGATTCACAGCTGCCAGGTACTCGCAGCTCATCATCATTCAAGCCACAGACACACCGCGCACTCGCTGGGAGCACAGCCACGCCGACCCCGCACGAGCAGCAGGCCGAAATTTACAGTTCCGGGGGCGCCGGGGTTTGGATCTTTAGACCAAGCATGCCCTCCTGCCCTCAAATAAATCCACGGTCTTTGTCTGCTGCCCCTGCAGCCCCCCAGTGAGGAGCTCCCAAAGCGCGATGGGCCGGGGAAGGGCTGTCTTGTCTTTGAAAGTCGTGGCCGGCACCCCGAGGCTAGAAGTGGGGAGGGGAAAGCGAATACTGCAGTCGGATCTCGGGGTTCATCAGGAGCGAGTCTGGTGTGGAAACTCGGTGTCTTGGTGATGTGTCTGGGTGTGCGCAGCCCTTCCGGAGGCGAGGCCGGGAGAGAGGAGGGAGTGATTCATAAACTCGGACCCGGCGTGCTGGGCTCCGTGAGCAGAGTAGAAAAGGCTGCAGGCCGATGCTGCGCTGCGCGGGACAGCTGTGGGGTGGCAGTGACAGGGCCTGGAGGAAAGCACACAAACCCCTCCCCCCCCCCCCCAGCGGATGTGCTTCCTCGGAGGGACTTCCAGGAGGACCAGCGGAGGAGATTCCAGCCGTATATGTGTGTGTGTTCACGGGGGTGGGGGATGTCTAAGACTCCCGAGGTCACGGAGAAACCAGGGCTGTGCGGGAGCCCTATTTATTTTCAGGCACCTGAAGCTGTGTTTGCTTTCAGATGCCCTGGTGTGCTGTGGCCCCAGGGTGTTTCAGGGATTGTCCTGGACCTAGACCAGTGCTTGGCATATGGTGGGTACTCAGCAAGTAGTTGTTTGATGATTAATGGCACCAACAATTAATATTTGCTAAGGACTTACTATGAGCCAAGCCTGGTGGCCTCCGCTGGGTTGGAATTGGCCTTCCTGCAGAGGAGGGGGCCCTGAATGGTTCCAGGAAGCCCTGCCTGATTTGTCTGGAGAAGTGGCCCAAGCAGCATGTTCCAGGGTGCCATGTGGGCTGGCACTGGGGACTTGAATCTCACCATTGGCCTGTGCTCCCCTAAGAGGGGCAGCAGGAAAGTCTCCTATGTCTACATCTGGCTAAGCAGGGGGTGGTGTTTGTGTTTCTTGGTGGCTCCTGTTGGCCTGGCTGGAGATGGGTCTCATGAAGGGTCTAGGGGCTATGTCCTCCAGCAGGGGCTTGGCTCTATAGTGGCAGCAGGTGGAGGGGTAGTCACAGTCCTTGTACTGAGCATCCGGTGGTTTCCTCTGTGTCAGCTGGAATGTGTTTCCCAGAGGAGCCGAAACATCTCATGTTCCTGGAACTGGGATCAGAAGCAGTTTTGGGAGTGATTCCCTGTTGGTGAGGGATTGAGAGTGTGCAAGGATATGGGACAACCTGGCCATGGAATCACAAGGAAATGTGTCATTCCCCTGCCCCTTTGTGACTAGGTTCAGTCTGCATTTCAAGCTTCGAAATGGTCTCAGTGCTGAAATTAGCAAAGTATGTGGGCAGCACGAGAACTGTGGCCCCAGATGAGAGAGGGAGTGACCTGGACTTGGCCATCTCTGATTTCAGGGGGACTGCTGCAGCCAGTCCCTTCCCCATATCACCTTCCCGCCCTGTGTCTTCTGGGAATCAAGAGCTCTACGTACATTATCTCATTAAGCCCTACATCCCTATGAAGTTAGCGTTTTATCGCTCTTTTGCAGATTAAGAAACTGAGGCTCAGAAAAGTTAAGTAACTTTTTCAAAGGCACACAGCTAATGAGGAACAAAGCTGGGGATTTGAACATGAACAGTCTGACTCTGGAACTCATGCTCTCTCCACCATGCCAGGTTGTCTCTACGGTCCCTACTGGTTCTCCATGGCAACAAAGAAGCTACTTACTAACACTAACATGGTCCTGGGGCCTCTGACTGCAGTCCTTTTTCCACACACGCTGCCCAGACTGGGTTACACCGTGGGCCATGGGAAATCAAAGTCTGGGTGGCTCCAGGCTGCTAGAACCTTCCGTGTAGGACTGGAGTCGGGAAATGATGGAGATTTGGAAGTATTGAGGGAGATAGTGCAGTAATTCCAGTGAGAGATGATTCGCTGCTTATCCGAGAAGTGGGGACAAAGCTGCCACTTACGACCATACAAGGCATAAGTTTGGGTTTGGGAGAAATGGCCAGGCAAACATTCTCAAATGGATTACTCTATTCCTTTCTTCGGCCCTCACCAGAGTGGAAATCTGGGATAACCAGCCCTCCCCTGCCACCTCCTGCCTGGTGGCTGTCCTTCCCACACCTGCCAGATGCCCTGAGGTGGTTTCTGGTCCCCAAGAGAGATGGGTGGGCAGAGCTGGGGTGGGGGAAGATGACACATGGCTCACCTGGTGGTCCCTAGCGAATGCTTTCCCCCACATGCCCCACAGAGGGACAGTGGTTATCATCCCTACTTTACAGATGAGGACAGGGGGCTCAGAGAGGTGCGGTGGATGCCCAAGATCACGAACCTAGGGAACTGCAGGCTATGCTGCCTCCAGGCAGCCCTGCAGGCACTTAGGGACGGCTGTGTTCTCAGTCTGGTTGGTACTCTATACCCCATAAGGGCTGAGAGGGGTGCTTCTCACGGCTCTGCCCACCCCCATCTCTGCCCAAGGTGTCCATATACAGGAAAAACTGGCAGTCTTTTTTTTTAATCTTTTTTTTTTTTTAAGATTTTATTTATTATTTGACAGAGAGAATGAGTGAGAGAGAGCACATGAGAGGGGGGAGGGTCAGAGGGAGAAGCAGACTCCCCGCCAAGCAGGGAGCCCGATGCGGGACTCGATCCCGGGACTCCGGGATCATGACCTGAGCCGAAGGCAGTCGCTCAACCGACTGAGCCACCCAGGCGCCCCAGGAAAAACTGGCAGTCTTAAATAAGGAGCAGAGGATGAGCACTAGCTGGCTGGCCCCTGCCCACCTTCCCCAGGAAGCCCATGTGGGTGAGTTTCGAGAGCCTTGACAGAGCTGAGCTGTAGGTATTGGAACCCTCTCTTGCCTCCACTGCAGAGTGGGCATGCTGTCCAGGATGGAAGTTGGGAGACTGGGTGTGGGGAAAAACTGCCCCACCCGAGGGACAGGGGCTGCTTATCTTTGCACCCTGGCTCCCTCCCAGCGTCTGAGACAGGGAAGTACTTGGGACCGTTGTCAGGTGATGGGTGAAGCCTAGGGAGGGGTCTCGGGCCTGCTGGGAAGTCATAAAGCAGCAGAGCCAAGGGAATCCTAGCCATGAGGAAACGCTCACAGAGGTCTCTGCCTGTCATGAAGTCATGCAGGAGGAAAATAGCTCTGCGTTTCATTCCTTAAACAGAAGAAAGAAATAAATGTCATCTCTTCTTCTCTGATGACTAAATAGATGATAGAATGCTGCTTGTTCTGCCTGAGCATGAGGCTTCCACGGCTGGGTGTGGGGCAGTCCCCGGCCAGCTGGACAGTTTGTTCTGTGCTTGGAGGTGGACACGCTCAGTCTTTGGCCCCATTGCCCCGGATCTGGCTGGTTGCTCCCCCCACCCTTATCCACCACCATGGAGAGAGGGGGCAGGCAGGCCACGGGAGACCCCAACTACCAGCAACTGCACCCCCTCATTCCTCCCCCTCTTGCCTCTCCCCTCCACATTCCCCCCCCCCCCCCCCCCCCCCCCCGCTCCACAAAGATGGCTGTGTGCTGAAGGACTGTGGGTTTCTCTGGGCCCTGAGAAATTTATCACTGGGGTTCTAGAGGACTCTCTGAAAAGGATTTGGAGGAAAGTGTGGAAAATAAATAAGCCAGTTCCCAGTTGAGCGTCTCCTGAATACCATAAGTAAACAGCCATCCTGGAGGCCAGCCCCGGGAAGCTCTGTGTTGACCTCCCATGGTTACACCTGGCTCACTGGCTGCTTTTACCGGCTCCCCCACTCCCTCCCCTCTCCCCTGTCCAACCCCTCCTCCTTGGCTTTCGGAGCCTTAAAAGTCAGGGAACACACACCGGACTGCTGGCCTGTCCTTGTGCTGCGGGAGGTTGGCACGCTGGCTGCTGGGACCAGGAGGAACATGAGGGCGGAAAGTCCACCTAGAGTGCCGGCTCAGCCCTGCTCCACCTGAGCAAGCCTCCCGGCTTTGGCCCCACTCAGCGAGGCAGAGGGTGGTCTCCCAGTTGGTGAGTTGGACTTTGATGGTGGAGAATGGTGGGGCTTTTTCCAGTGTGGCACCTGATGAAGTTTTGCATCTTAAACGTCCGTTTAGAGTGGATGGACCAAAGCTAATTTTCCCCTTTCGTGTCCCCCTCCCCACACACAAAGTGGGGCTCACATGTGAAGAAACCCTCACAACCTGTACATTTACCTTGAAGGGCTCTCGGGACTAACTAGAATGTCAAGGTTCTTTGCTTTTGGCCGGAGTCATAGCAGATTAGGCCATATCAGCTTAGGGTGCTGGTGGTGTAAGTTCACACCAAAGGTTTCAAGGAGCTCTAGCACGGTTGAGAGTTGCTCTGTCTATAGGGTAGGAAGCAAATTTGTGATAGCTTAATAACTTCAGTGCATTTAGTCGAGCCACTCTAAACCCCAGCAGTGCCTAGTGAGAAGGGAGAACCAGAGCTCTGCGTGGGAGGAGTTCCCGACTGGGACCCAGAGAGTGGCTGGGGTGCCTCTCCATTGTATGTGACTGTACCGAGCTGGGTGGGCAAACCGAAACCTCTGGGATCTGGGGAGCAGGCACTGCCGGGAGGCCCTGGGTCCTGCCCCCCGGCCAGGGAGCCTGTTTGTCATGCTGCTACCAGGCTGCCGAGAGAGAACTTGGGGGTGGGCTCCATAACTTGTAGCCCTGCGGGGGGAGAGGTGCATACCCGCGGACTCACAGACCATCACATCATCATGGGCTGAAATACACACACACACACACACACACTCAGATGTGTCCCCCACACACAAATATTTCAGTAAACAGCTGGGCACATTATATACCAAAACATTTATAGGCATGAGTGCGTGCATGCACACACAGATACGCAAACACAGGGACATACTCATTCCAAAAGGCAAATTACGTAACGGTTAAGGGCACATATCCTGAAGCTGGAATGCTCGCAGTCCTGCTTAGTAGCTGTGTGACCTTGGGCAAGTTATTTAACCTCTCTGGGCCTTAGTTTCTTAATCGTACTAGGTCATAGGTAATAGGGCTGTCAGTGAAGCAGTATCTGTGAGGAGTTGAGAAATGTGCCTGTACGTAGAACTAGGCCAGTGTTACAAGTATTATTCACCACACACCCTCTGCCCAGATACTCAGATTCAGGTTCACAAGACTTCTCAGAGAGGCACCCACAAACTTGTCGGTGAGTGGAATCAGTCGCTTTGTACTTTCTGAGCCCTGATTCTCAGAATGTGTGCCATTTGCTGTACTAGACCTAAATTAGAATTATTAGGAAAATAATTTCATCTTCCCTCAGAAAGCTCATTATTTTAAAAGTGTTGTTACTTCCCCCCGCCCCCAGGAAGGGTGGGAATTGCTTTAGCAGCAGCGGTTTTCAAACTAGGTTCCACGGAGCCCCAGAGTTCAATGGGGACCCCGCAGAGGCCTGATGGGAGGAGGCTCCGGGCCTCTCCCGCCTTGTCGGCTGTACACATTGGGCTTCTGAGGGAAGTTCTGGTTCAGAAGGCTCCCCAGCTTCGCCGTTTGAAAGCCCCCCTCTCCCGGCGGAACTGCTTCCCTTCTATGTGCGTGCATGCCTGTTCATACATGCAGAGCGCGGGCGCAAGCCCACACAGCCACCTGACGTGTGGCCCCGGGCCTCCCCAGCTCTCTTCCCCACTTTCCTTTTCTCCCTTCCCCTCCAGCTGCCGCACCATCTGCAGGATTCTGGAAAGTGCTAGGGGGGTCGGAGCCAAAGCAGTGCTATCTGAGGAAATATTTTGAAAACAAACTCGGCCGCCCCCCCACCCCCAGCCCCCGCCCTCCACTGGGACTGCACCAATTTCCAGCACGACATTTCACAATTTGCATGACGCCGGGCCGCGGGCACCTGCCTCTGCTCTGGACGCGGCCTGGGGCCTGTCGCTGCAGGGTCAGGGACAGATGTACCTGAAGAGGCCCGAGATAGAAACCTAGCACCTGTGAGGAAGGGGAAGTCAGCCTCCTGGGGGGGGGGGGGGGGAGTGCAATGAAGAACCGAAACACCCCTGACCCGGAAGGTGGGGCCCCCAGTCTTGTTTTCCTCTCGGCCCGGCTCCTCCTGCGTCTGCAGGATATGTGGGGATCCCCCAGGTGCCCAGCGGTCAGGTACACAGGAAGCACGTGCGGGGACTGGGCCCCTCACACCCTCCGGGCCCGCGCTCGCTCGGTCCTCACAGGAAGCTCGTGAGGGAGGCAGCTCGTGATTGCCGTTCTGCAGTCAGGCACACCGAAGCCCACAGGCCGGAGAGGTTGCCCGCGTCGCCCAGCTCGGGCGTGCAGAGCCCTGTCGCGCCCCGGGGCCCTGCCCTGTGCGCGAGCGTGCTGCCGTGCCTGAGGCCCAAGAGGACAGTCCCTCCATCGCTGGCCGGGCCGCTGCTTTGTGGCTCGGCGGCTCTGGGGAGGCTGGCTTCCGGGGTCGCCACAGCCCTGTGAGGGCACTGCGGGTGGAGGTTCGAGCCCCCGGCCCACCCCCAGGCTGACCCGCACAGGGCATTCCTGATGGTACCACGGCCTCTTCTGCAAGGCCGGCCATCTGCCCATCGCTGCTTCCCCTTGGCAGTGACCTGGGCTGCCAACAGCTGTGTCAGGAGAAGGGTTTTAAACTAGCGAGGAGGAGCTAGCAGATCGGGGTGTCCCAGCAAGACAGAAGCCCCGCCCCGGGGATGGTGCCCAGCTGCTCGGGATGCCGGTGGCTTCCACGGGCCCTGTGACCTTCCAGGTGGATCCTATGGCCCAGCCTCCCCTTCCCCAGCCCTCACTTTGTCCTTGCTGTCCCCTGGTCCAAGCTGTCCTCATTCCTCAGACACAGGCATCCAGCTCTCTGTAGCCTCTCCAGCCTCTCCTTCCTGCTTTTCTTGTGGCCAGCTCCCATTCAGCCTCTGGCCTCCGCTTGGGTGTCCCCTCTGGAAGCCTAGGTCAGCAGCCCTCCCTGTGGCTGCCTGCGCGTCCCCCTCGTCACACTTCACCGCGCTGCATGGCCATTGCTGCTTTCGTGGTCTGTGGTCTCCTGTGGGTAGTGAGCTCTGTGAGGAAGGACAGTGTCTGCCTTGCTCCCCTTGGTGTCCCCAGTGCGTCCACACGCCCAGTGAGTCCCCACCTGACTATGGAACTGAGAGTGATGGATGTGACATGAAGCTTCGCCATGTAGGATAGGATAGTGTCCATCCTCCCAGGACGGGATGCTCCCATTAGGGAGCAGTCAGAGTGTGGGTGGGGGGCGGCGGTGGGAGGGGAGTCGTGGTGAGTTGGAGGAGGCAGCTGATGTGGACCAGAGGCTTTGTGTGGGACTGGGTGGAAACAGGAGAGTGGGACCCTGGGCACGTGACCTGTCTCAGTCATTATCCTATGCGCTGGGCTGGGGTCCTGACAATGGGCCCAAAACCTTCTGAGAGGCCCCTTTGAATTAGGTGGGCCGGGGGGTGGTTGCACTCTGGGCCCTACTGCTCAACCCCATCAGCAAGTGGTTCTCAGTCCTGTCCCCTTATGGAAGGATGTCTGTCCAGCCCGTCCAGCCCCTCCAGGGTTCAGACTTGCCCCTGTGGCCGAGTCCTTTCCCCTGAGCAGGGAGAAGGAAGCCCAGCTGGCAGGCTGCCTCGGGGGGCTGGTTCCAGCTACAGCCCTTGAGCCGTTCTTGCAGAAGTAGTGGGGCCCCCGAGTGCTCGATTGTCCTCCCCACCACCCAGGGAGCACACATGAGGTGCTTCAGCCCGGGCCTCGCCTGTCCAGGTACTGCATACCTGCTCATGCCTGACACTGCACAGGGTGTCCTAGGGGTAGCAGAAGGTGCCCCCAGGCTAGAAAGGGAGAGGAGATGTGGGCACAGATAACTACCTTTGAGTCCAGCTGTGATGAGCCCACACAGGTGGACATGAGGGAGGACAGGGGGAGGGCTTCATGGACGAGGTGGGCATGCAGGTGCAGGGAGGGAGACTGGGCAAAGGCACAGGGTGGGAAGGCTCAGCTGGAATGCAGAGAAGGGCGAAGTGTAATTTGTAGGGTGCATGAAGATCGGAGATGAGGCAGGATGGAGCTGTGGTTGCAGTGTGCAGACTCTAGAGGTGGGCTGCTTGCAAGGAGAGGGAGCCCTGCTCCTCACCTGCTGTGTGACTGTGGCCAAGGTGCTTCATCCCCCTGTGCCTCAGTTTTCTCATCTGTAAAATGGAGATGCTAACAGTACCCACCACATGGGGGTGATAGAAGAAGAAAATGTGTCCCTAGACAAGTGTTCGGAGCAGTGCCTCATATACCGTAAGCATCAAGAAGAATGAGCTACTATTCTTATTTTTTATTTATTTATTTATTTATTTATTTATTTATTTATTTATTTATTTATTTATTTATTTATTAAGATTTTTTATTTATTTATGTGACAGAGAGAGACATAGCAAGAGCAGGAACACAAGCAGGGGGAGTGGGAGAGGGAGAAGCAGGCTTCCCGCCGAACAGGGAGCCCGATGTGGGACTCGATCCCAGGACCCTGGGATCATGACCTGAGCCGAAGGCAGACGCTTAACAACTGAGCCACCCAGGCGCCCTATTCTTATTTTTTAAATAAACGCAGCTAGAAATGTCAATTGAGGTCGTGTCAAGGTTCTTGAATGCCATACTTTCCATTTGCTAAGCGCCTGCTGTGTGCCAGGTAGTTATAGACCGTCTCACTAAGTAAGCCCCATACAGCCCAGCAGGGTTGTTAGCCATGTGTCCATTTTCCAGATGAGGAAACTGAGGTTCGGAGAGGCAGTTAACCCACCCTGGATCACTCAGCCAGGAGCAGTGGGGGGCAGTAATGAAATCCAAGTCTCCCTGGCAGTTCGGTCTGTCCGTGTGGAGATTGGAGAGACATGACAGTACCATGGGGGTCACAGCCCGAAGCGGCACCCGGATGCTGTAGTCATGGGCCCCTGGGGCAGGGAGGGCAGGAGGGGACGGGGAAGGAGAGATCCATGCCAGCCCGGAGGGCACGGAGACAGGGAGCCCTTGAGACCATAACACACAGCTCACCATTCACAGCCAGGCGCACCACTGAGTCATTCTGGGAAAGCCTGACATCACTGAGCCTCACTGTCTGCTGCCTACCTGCCGGTCTGCCCTCTGTGGGCCCCTGGTGACCGTGTGCCCAAAGTCCTGCTAGGGACCCCCCCACCCCGGGGGAGCAGGGCCATGGCAGCTTTCTGGCTTCCTGTCCTGGTTTCTCCTTCCCGGCTGCTGTTTTCTACCTTGCCAGAGTTCCCTTCCCTGCCTGGGGTCCCCACCACACCCCTTACTCATAAGCTCAGCTGTGGCAGAGCTTCTGGAAGTGGTGATAGGCATGAAGAACTTCCAAAGGTACATCCTTGCCAGGCCTCTGATTGGAATTCTGGGCATTCCAGTGTTGGAATCACTTTGAAAAAGTAAAGCCTGGGTGAGCTATGTGCCCAGCACTATGCCAGGTCCCAAAGGCCTCTGCCTTCCTGGTAGGTACAGTTGAGTACCTGAGAGCTCTTTATGTACTAAGCATTCTCAGGCTGGGTGATTTATTTGCATCAGTCTGATTGCATAAGGTACCCATTTACAGATGCCAACGCTGAGGCCCAGAGAGATTAGGTGACTTGTCCAAGGTCACACAGCCAAATTCAAATCCTCAGCTGTCCAACTATTGCTGTGCCTGTGCTCCACGATCCAGCTGCAAAATGAAACCACCAGAGAGTTGTAGGAGCTAGGGTGTATGAACCTATGCCTGCCAAATGGTGTGGTGCAGACAGGAAGTGCCAGGAGAGTTTTCATTTTTCAGTGTGAATCACTCCCCAGAGTTTCTTGAAGATGGTGGATCTCCAAGGAGGTGGCAGAGAGCCCCCAGCTTCTTGGCCATGCAGACCCTGCTGATGTGGCCATTTGGGGTGAAACTCACCTCTCTGGAAGGAGCACAGGGGTTTGGGGGCGCCCGTTCTGTTGTTGGTGGGCCGGACCTGGAAAAGGAGTGTGAGTCAAGAGAGGGGCCAAGTGCCAGCTTCCTCAGCCCCGTCTGCAAGCGCAGGATGCCAGCTCCGCCCGCCCCAGCCGCCCCAGCCGCGAGGAGGGGCCAGGGCCCAGCCCTGTGCTAAATGGTGCCCTCACCCTCCACAACCTCACGAGGGAGGCATGGTTAGCCCCATCTTCCAGGTGAGGACACTGAGGCTTATCGAGGTTTTCTGGCTCACCTGAACTCCTCTGGCCTGAAAGGGGAGAAACCGAGACTGTTTAGTCTTCTCTCTGCAAGGACAGGAGGAGGTAGGAGCTAGTCTCCCCTCTGACACCGGGTAAGGCCAGCTCTGTTCTCAGGCTTGCATTTCCGATTCGGTCTGCAGTCACTGGGTCGCCGTGTTGCCGTGTTGCCGTGAGAATGACCCTCTGGGGTGAGAGAAAAGCTCTGATTTCCCTTGAGCTGAGTTACCATTTTTCCAGGAGCACTTTTGAAGCCGTAGGGGCCCTCCTCAGGCTTCTGGGCTGGGCCCTTCTCCCCCCCCAGAGCCAGCCCCACCTTAGTGGGCCTGGCCTGGAAACAAAGGGCCTCCACAAGATACCTGGCTTAGGTGATTACCCGGCATGTGACTCAATGGACAGGTGCCGGATTCTCAGGGGTCTCTCATCCCCTTTTTAGTGCCCAAGCCCCAGGTTAGCCTAACTCCAGGTGCCCTCTCCACAGATATGTGGGGATCCCCCAGGGTTCCATGGTCTGCAGGGTGGCTCCTCCTGACCCTGTCCCCCCTTAGCCCCCAGAAGTCCCCAGGCTTCAGGAGTGGCTATCCCCCCACACTCAGAAGGGAGGGGACCCAAACCAGTTACTCCCCTCAATTACTATAGGAATAATTTCTGGAGAGTTGTCGCTTTTCTTGCAGGGAAAGTAGACTGTTAGTTTGACTGTAGGGGCAGTTTTGCTTCTCATTGCCTCCAGATTTTCCTTTCCGGCTTTGCCTCAGCTTAAATTCAAAGGCCTGTTAAAATGACTTCCAAAAGGAGAGTCTCATCTCAAAAGAACTTTGCCTCTACTTCTATAGGTAGAAAACTAATACCTGCTTTTAATTTTTTTTTTTTTTAGTTTGACTAAATTTTACAAATTAAGTAATATATGCCCATGGTACACAATTGGAAAGGTACAAATGGATTAAGGTAAAAGGCACAAGCTGGAGAGTAGCTGCCTGGACAGTTAGTGTGTCATTTGGGGTGAAACTCACCTCTCTGGAAGGAGCACAGGGGTTTGGGGGCGCCTGTTCTGTTGTTGGTGGGCCGGACCTGGAAAAGGAGTGTGAGTCAAGAGAGGGGCCAAGTGCCAGCTTCCTCAGCCCCGTCTGCAAGCGCGGGATGCCAGCTCCGCCCGCCCCAGCCGCCCCAGCCGCCCCAGCCGCGAGGAGGGGCCAGGGCCCAGCCCTGTGCTAAATGATGCCCGGGGTCATTGCTAAGCCAGTGAGTGCTCCCTCCCAGGCTGTGCTGGCTGCCACATCCCAGCCCCCTCAGCAGTCACCTTGGCCTCCACCCACGAGACACAAAGGCCCCCACATCCCTCAGCCCCTGCAGCCCCAGCATGGCCCCTTAGCTTCAGCTTCCAAGGGTGGCATTCTCCTGCATTCCCAGCTGCCTCTTCTCCATTTTCCCCTCTTGTCTGGCTGGACTGGGGCCTGCAGCTGTGGCCTGTGGGGTCAGGGCTCCACGCTGGTGATCTGACCGGACATACTGCCTCTTAGCCAAACTGACTGCAGGTTCAGAGTCCCCTAGGTGTGGGGGCTCACACAGACAGGTCCACCCTTCTCCACTGCCTTCCCTGGTGAGACTGAGTGTGACCTGGGCCTCCCCTGCTCCTCCCCCCCCACCCCCCCTTCCCTCCCTTCCTCTGCCTCCTTCCCTTCTAACCTCCTTCTTTACTGGCATATATATGTGGTGCTGTATAGCAAATGGTAACTCTAATTCCTAAGAATGGGGCAAGTCAGAGAAAGAAATAGTGCCAGGAGAGCAATGTGCTGGAGATTTGATGTCAGCAGACCCTGCCCTTCACGTCTCGGCCTTGCATCTCCGACTGGGTGACCTTGGGCAGGTTGCTTAGCTTCTCTGAACCTTACTCTCTCATCTGGAGAATGAAGGTGATCGTGGTGGTAAGAATCCAGGCTGGGCACAGGGCTGGCCTGAGGACCAGGAGGAGCAAAAGGGCTTCCTAAGGAGGAAAGGGCGACAGATGGGGGGGGTGGGGAGGTGGGCAGTGCTGTTCCTCTGGGAGACTGGTTATGGCCTCGGGCTGGATCAGGGAGGGCTCTGGGGACACGTGGGGTTTGGGCTCAGCCTTAGGGCAGACTTTGGCCAGGCCCGATGGCCTCTTAGGCAGCTTGGCCCCTGGGCTAATGGCTGCCTGCCCTCCTGTGGAAATGCCTTTTCTTCTATTTCCACCCAGAAATGAACCCTCAGCTTTGTTTTTTTTTTTTTTAAGTAATGACTTTACAGTTTTTATAGTAGTGATAGATGCTTATTATGCAAAATTCAAGTAAAATGGACAAATAACAGAGAAGAAAGCAACAACTCACTCCTCAGTTCCACCGCCCAGATGTAACCAGTTAGTTATTTCGTGCACATATATACATAGAAGAGGGGGCGGTAGAGAGGCAGAAAGTTTTATAAACACGGGAAAATGCACAGTTGAGTTTAACTTTTAGGCCAGCGTTCTAAGAAGGCTGTGTGCCCCAAAGCAGCCCCTCTCATTTGTTCCCCGTGTCCATGAGGGCATTGTGGTGGGGGGAGGACCCATACACTCTGCTCTTTAAAACCTCCTGATACAGACCAGTTACAAAAGGGGAGCCGGTTGAAGTCGGTACATACCAGCTCCAGAACAGTGGTTTTCAATCTTTGGACCAAAACCACAGACAAAGATACCTGGAACTGAAACGAAACAAAAGTCTTATGAAGCCCATATGTATCTTCATCACACATTACACACACTGATATTTTCAGTTCTATACCATTCTGTTGAACTTTATAAAAAAAAAAAAAAAGCTCGTCGACCTACCAAATTGATTGCAAGCTGGAGTTTGAAAAATATTGCTCTGGAAGACTGATTTTCAAACTTTACACCAGACTCACCTGGAGAGCTTGTTGGCAGCTTGCTGTGCCCACCCCCCTGAGATTCTGGTTGAAGAGGTCTGCGGAGGGGCCTGAGAATATGCATTTCCACCAAGCTCCCAGGTGCTCCTGCCTGCTGCTGGCCCCGGACCTCACTCTGAGATCTGACCTTCCTAGATTGTTTTTTAAAGCACTGTACTTCCCGCCAGACACTTCCAGAGGATTTGCTTTATTCAACAGATGAGAATCGCTGATGGCTAACACAAGAATTTGGGTCTCTGACATTTTGAGGGCGTCGGTCAGGCACTTTCTTCAGGATCTTTAAACACCACTCTCCTGAAATCCAGTTCACACTATGTCTCCAGTGCCAAATGCAGAAAAGGTCTGGGAAGCAAAGGGACATTTATGCCCAACCCTGGTTGAATACCTGCCTCTTAAGTCCCAAACCCACAGAACATAAAACCCTCCCGGCCCTTTTGAAAACACCGTTCCTCTATAGGCAATGAAAGGTGCCATTTACCATGGAGATTTCACCTCTTCTGGTTTTTTAAAGGGAAGAAGACAAGTCAAGCATGACCACCCCATGGGGAAAGCTGTTTCCCTCACTCTGGTTGGGGTCTGCTGGGTTTCATTGGCTGTCCCTGGATCCCCAGCTTTCCCTGGAACCTCTTCCTGGCATGGCAGCTGAGCGCGTGCAGCAGACCCGGGCTCGCCTATGTTTTAAGTTGCCTCTGCTCCTCCAGCCAGGGAACTCTCAGCCCCCACTCCTCATCCTCCCCCTTCATAGCCGTGGGGCCTCCTCCCCAGCCTTGCAGTCCTCTAGAAGCCAACCCTCAGCTGGGAGCAACCTCGTGAGGGAGGGAAGTGTTAAATGGGCACAGAGCTCCTCTGTTCCACTAACAATGGCCCGTTGATGACTGGATTCTGCCCAGGGCGGCCCCCCTTGACTGGACTTAGGGGAGGAGGAAGGACTCCAAGCGCCCCTCCCCCAGGCAGCCATTTCTGGGTGTGAAGTTGATCCCAGTCCTTGGCCTCTGCCGACAGAACCTCATTCTTCAGGCCCTGAAGCAACAGTGAGAAACCCACTCACCCCTCCTGTCCCATCCCAGGGGCAGTTCGAGGCCCCAGGAGTGATTCAGTTCCATGTAATTCAACAAACATCTATTGGGGAGTGAACCGCAGGCCCTGATATTTTGTAAAAGCTCTCAAAGGGATTCTCATTCACAGCTGGGGGTTAAGCCTCCTGGGCCTCCTATTGGTTAAACATTGTGCTTGCTGAGCACGGAACTGGTAAGTCCCCATTTCATGAGGGAGGTGCTTGTGGGAGGCTGAATACTGGCTCCCCGAAGATGTCTACACACGCACCCCCCACACCTGTGGATGTGTTACTTCCCAAGGTCAAGGGACTTTGCAGTGGAACTAAGTGAAGGATTTTGAGATAGGAAGATTACCCCGGATGATCCAGTGGGCCCAACGTCAGTATACTTGTCCCGAGAGGAGGAGGATTTGACGACAGAAGAGGAAGAATGATGCCTGAAGAAAGAGACTCAACCAGCCATTGCTAGCTTGGAAGATGGATGAGGGGGCCATGAGCCATGGAAAGCAGGCAGCCTCTAGAAACTAAGCTGCAAAGGTCAAGGAAGCAGATTCTCCCCCTAGGGCCTCTAGAAGGAACGCAAGCCTGTGGACACCTCGATTTTAGTCCAAACTGATCTTGGACTTCTGACTTGCAGAACTCTTCAGGTAATAAATACATGTTGTTTTAAGCCACCGAGTTGATGGTGGTGTGTTACCACGGCTACAGGGAAGGAATACAGGGCTGTTGCTAACTCTGCTTTACAGATGTGGCACAGAGAGGTGAGGCAGTCAGCTGGGGTCACACAGCTCGTGAGTGGCAGAGCTGGAGCAGGAAGAATCCCTCACTCGGAGTGCTCCTCCACCCCACCGCACTGCCCCTCCTTGCAGCCTGACAGACAGACAGACGTAGGTCCGAAGCGCCCCACCTCCGCCCCGCCGCCTTCTTTTCCTGTGTCCTTTGTTAATGGTGGGGCCCAATCCGCGGAGAGAGGAGGATGTGGGGGTGGGCTGGGCAGGCGGAGGAAAGCTGGGGTGGGCCGGGTTGTCCCCAAGTGGAATGCCACATTTGAACTCGATTCTGGAAGAGCGGAGCCCGCGGGCACTGTCCCGCATCTCCTCTGCCGCCTGTCATCACGCTCTCAGGGCCACTCTGCCCCTGGGATCTGGCCCACGGCCACAGGCCAGCCACAGGCTTGGGCAGGAGCAGCATTCTGCTCACTGTCACCCACAGCCAGCAGCAGCTGCTTATCTGGGCCAGCCAGCAAGCTCCCATTTCCTGGGAGGCCGGCAGTGGCCTTGTGCCTTCAAAGGGCGTTTCTTCCCAGACGCCAAGAACCTTGCGTGTGAGGTCACGTGTGTCTCTTTGAGGCGTGTGAGACCAGCAGAGGTCTATAACCCTCCTGCTCGCTGATACTGTGCTCCTGAACCGTGGAGCCGACTGCCTGGGTTCCAAACCCAGCTCTACCTTGTGCCCGAGGGCAGGTGTTTGGCCTCTCCTTGCCCTAGGTGGGGGTGGTGGTTAGTAGCTAGGAGGGTACCGCTCCACCTTCCTCACTGGGTTGTGTTGCAGACCAAATAACATTTACAGTGTGTGAAGTGCTTGGAAGTACCTCGTTCATCACGGTCCTTGTTAGCTCGGTCATTGTTCGCTCCCCTAGGGCAGGGACTGTGTCTCTCCCTCCCTCTGCTGCCAGTGCCTCGGTCCCTCCATGGACCAGGGCAAGTACTCTGCAAATGAGTTGACTTGTCCTGCGCAAGCTTTTATCATCCAGAGGCTCGCTAGGTACTTCCCCCAGACTTCTAACTTTTCAAGTTCCCCCTTTGTTCAAACCCTCCTCCTGCTCCTTCTTGCCTGGGAGCTGCACGGTGGCCCAGAAGCAGCCTGAACCTTGCTCCGCCCCTTGGCAAGTCCCTGGAGCAGTTCAGAGATAACCCAGAGGTCCCAGGTTCTCACCATTGCCAAGGCCACGCCTGGCCGACCTGCTGAGCTCTCTCCGGGGTCTCTGGGCCTGGTGGCAGCACTGTTCACAAACCGAGTCTTGCGTGGCCTCACATGGACCCTGTGCCTCCTCCCAGCGTCTCTCCTACTTGGAGCCCATGCCAGGCCTTCCAGCTGATGCGGGGGTGGGGGGCGGGGGGCAAACCATGTGGGTCCGTCAAGTCCCGTCCCCTTTCTCTTTCCCCTGCTGTG